TCTGCCCTGCAGCTCCCAGTGCCCTCTGTGCTGAACCCTGATCGGGTAAGATTGGAGGTCAGTGGTCATGCAGTGAGGCTGTTGGATTGCACCTTGCTTGCCCTCTCCCTGGCTGGGTCCGTGTGTTCAGATCCGTGCCATTTCTGTGTCCCGGGTTTTGAACCCTTCCTTGAGGTGCCATTTCCTTGTGCCTGCCCGTGTCTGAAATTACAGGCATTGGCATGTTTACTACTTAAGTGGACCATTGGTTTCTTCTCAAGACTGTCCTCTATGGTTTTTTCAGTAGTGTTTACATCTCTTTTTCTACCTGCCCTGCTCCATTCATCTTTGTGAGGTATGACTGACAAAATTATATTATTGAAATTATATTACATAATAATTTGATATATACATTATGAAATTAGTGTAATTTTTTTTAGATTTGTTTATCTGAGAGAGAGAGAGCGAGCGAGAGAGTGCGTGTGCACGTGCTCATGAGCAGAGAGGAAGGGAAAGGAAGAGAGAACCCCAAGCTGACTCCATGCTGAGTGGAGAGCCAGAGGCAGGGCTCAGTATCACTACCATGAGTCTAAACTTTAGTTTAGACATCACAACGTGAGACTAAACCAAGAGTTGGACACTTAACCGATTGTGCCATCCAGGCGTCCCTACATTATGAAATTATCATCAAAATGAAGCTAATCACACCACCATTACTTGACAAAATTACCTTTTTTGGTGGTGGTGGTTCGAAAGCTTAATATTGACCCTGTTAACAAATGTCAGGTGTACAATGTAATATTAGCAACTGGAGTCAATATTGCTGTACATTAGATCCTCAAACTTATCTTGGAAATGAAGGTGTATATCCCTGACCAACATCTCCCCGTTTCTCTCAACCCTTAGCTTCTGGCATTCTACTCTGTTTCTGTAAGTGTGATTTATTTCTTTTGTTAAAGAGTATTCATATAAATGCTACTGTACAGGGTTTGTATTTTGCTGTGTGGCTTCGTTGAGTAGCATAATGTTTTCCAGACTCATCCATGTTGTGGCAAGTGGCAGTGCTGCCTTCTTTTTCATTGCTGAATATTCCTGCATGTGTGTGTGTGTACTAAATGATCTTTGTCACTTTATTTCATTTATTTATTCATTTATTCATTTAAATACAATTTATTCTTTTATTTATTTTTTTTTTACATAGACTCTGTGCCCAATGTGGGGTTTGAACTCACAACCCTGAGATCAGAGTCACATGCTCTACCAACTGAGCCAGCCAGGTGTCCCTTCTTTGTCACTTTATTTTTTATTGATTTATTTTTTAAAGATTTCATTTATTTGAGAGAGAGAGCACAAGCAGGGGGAAGGAGCAGAGGGAGAGGCAGGCGCTTAACTGACTTAGCCACCCAGGCACCCCCTTTCTTTGTCACTTTAAACACTCATACACACTTAATGATGTTTCCATATATTGGCTATGGAACAATACTGCAGTGGATATGCATGTTCAGATACATTGTGGAGATACTCATTTTGTTTCGTTGGGATACATACCTAGAAATGGCAGTGGTGGACTATATGGTAGTTGTATTTTCAATTTTTGGTGGAGCTCCCTAATATTTTTTCATAATGACTTTCCTATTTACGTTCCCAGCAGCAGTATTCAAATATTATTTTTTCTGCATATCCTGACCAACATGTTACCTCTTGTCTTTTTGGTAATAGCCACTGTTAACACGTAGGAGGTGGTATCTTGTGGTTTTGGTTTTCTTTCTTTTTTTTTTTTTTTAAAGATTTTATTTATTTATTTGACAGAGAGAGACACAGCGAGAGAGGGAACACAAGCAGGGGGAGTGGGAGAGGGAGAAGCAGGCTCCCCGCTGAGCTGGGAGCCCGAAATGGGGCTCGATCCCAGGACACTGGGATCATGACCTGAGCCAAAGGCAGACGCTTAACGAGTGAGCCACCCAGGCGCCCCAATGGTTTTGGTTTTCATTTCCCTGGAGATTTGTGACTGTGAGCACGTGTTAGTCACTTGTACATCCTTTTCACACTTGTAGTTTTCATTGGCTCTGGTGCAGCTTTTCAATTTAATATAGTGGTATTTGTTAGTTTTTGCTTTTGTTGTGTATGCTTTACATGTCATATTCAAAAAATCATTGGCAGGAATAAGGTTAAGGAGGCTTTTCCCTATTTTTTTTTCCCTAGGAATTTTAGGGTTTGAGGTCATCTGTTTTAAGTCTTTAATCTATTTCAATTTCATTTCCATGTGTGCTATAAGATGGCGATCAAGGATCCTTATTTTTTCATTTGGATATTCAGATTTCACAACAGTATTTTATTTTTTTATTATTATTTTTTAAAAATATTTATTTATATTAGAGAGAATCTCAAGCAGACTCCAAGCTTAGCACAGAACCTGATGTGGGAAATGATACCACAACAGTGAGATCACTACCTTAGCCAAGACTAACAGACATTTAACCAATTGTGCCACCCAGGTGCCCCCTCATTTCTTAAAATGAAAACATATTTTATTTATTTGAAAGAGGGAGCAGGGAGGGACTAAGGGGGAGAGAGAGGGAGAATGAATCCGAAGCTGACTCTGCACTGACCTGGAGCCCTATGCGGGCTTGATCCCATGACTGTGAGATCATGAACTGAGCCAAAACAAAGAGTTGGAATCAACAGACTGAGCCACCCAGGTGCCCCTCATTGTATTTGAAAGATTCATTTATTTATTTGAGAGAGAGGTAGAGAGACCACCGCAGGCAGGGAGTATAGGGAGAGGGAGATAAACAATCCCAAGCAGGCTCCGACCCTGAGATCACAACCTGAGCCAAAACCAAGAGTCGAAGCTCAACCAGCTGTGCCCCCCAGGCTCCCCATAGATTTCACAGCATTATTTTTTTTTAAGATTTTTTATTTTTTTATTAGGGAGAGAGTACAAGCAGGGGGAGCAGCAGGCAGAGGGAGAGGGAGAAGGCGGCTCCCTGCTCAGCAGGGAGCCCTAAGTGGGGCTCAATCCCAGGACCCCGGGAACATGACCTGAGCTGAAGGCGGATGCTTAACCAGGCGGAGGTTGGTTAGGCGGAGCCACCCAGGTGCCCCAGATTTCACAACATTATTAAAAGAGATTATTCTGCCCGGGTGTAGATTTTTGGCCTAATTTTCAAAGATGAGTTCACTATATGTATGTGCATTTACTTTTGGGCTCTTTATTCTATTGCCCTAGTATTATTACTGGTTTATCTGCTACTACCCTGTTGTTTTGAATACTATAGCTTTGTAATCTAGTTTGAAATCGTAAATGTGCTGCCTTCAGCTTTAATCTCTCTCAATATTGCTTTGGCTTTAGCCCTTCGTTGACTTGGTGGCAGTGGTGCCGGTGTCCCCTGTGGAGCCGGCAGCTGGAGTCTCTGCTGAGCAAGGACTGCGGTAGCACGCGCCCTGTGGCTGATGGAGGTAGCCCCAGCCCTTATTTCCCACCTACCCCACAGTCTCTGCTACAGCAGGCTCCAGCCGTCTCTTCTTTGTGCTTGTGCCCTTGTTTATGCTCCACTGTGTACTACTGTCATAATGGCACTGTTGAGGTCTCTGAGATAATGCCATTCATAGACAGCTGTTGAATTGATTTTTGTTGGGGTGAAGGATGGTATCTCCTGTTCTCCCATCCTGCTGCCATCAGTCACATAGGATGTTTTTCTGTGTCTGCTCTTCTGAGTAGCTCTGGGACAGTTTGGTTGTCCATGTGCCCTGTTTTCCTTCAGTATTTCTATCTTCCCAGTACCCTGTGTTGCTCACCTAGGGCTTACAGGGAAGAGTCCTTTGTGTGTCATAGTATAGACATGATCCAACACGACTAGGTGGGCTTACACGGGCTCTGTTCCTGGTGAATAGAACCTGGGGAAGGTGTGATATCAGGCCTGTGTTCAGACCATACTGGGCACCTTTGCTTGTTCAACCAGAGTTCGATGTGATTGCCGATGGCCACACCCCGTTTCTGTCTTTCCTTCTTCACTGTTGACAGTTTGTGGACTTCTGAATTCTACTCTTTGGTAATTCCATGACGTCCAGTATAGGGGTAATTAATGCTTCTCAGGCATTCACGTCTCACAAATTTCTCTCACTACTATTTCTGTGTAGTCGAACATTCACCCCTGAAAGTTTTACCATGACATATTCACATGCCCTTAAAGTGACATTGAACAGCAGCAAATTTATTGTGATTGGATTTTCCTTCAGCCTTGTACTTAGACAAATATCACCAGCAGAAATGGTCCTACGCTAACTTGTGGGAAGAGAAGTAAGGTTTAGACCCTGGCTCTCCTTGTGTCATACCCTAGTTTCCCATTCTTCTAGTGTGCTCTCCACATTACTTTTGACTATCAAGGCCCAATAATGCGCAGCAACCACTTCCAACTGTTTTCCATCAACAGTGTCTGGAAAAGCATGCCTAGGTGAGACCCATGCATATTATGTGATGGGCTCACCCCTTCACTATTGTCAACGCAGATTTCACCAACACTTCTTTGCTTTCAGGTTGCTGCTGTGGAGCAGAGGATGAGGCACCCTTTGCCCAGAGCACTTCTGTAGGCGTTTCACAGACCAGGACGCCCAAGGCAGCTCAGTCTTCCCGGAAGACCCACCCCTGTGAGATGTGTGGTCCAGTCCTGAGAGACATTTTCCACTTGGCTGCGCACCAGGGAAAAGAAAACAGCCAGAAACTGTTGAGGTGTGGGGCCTGTGGGAAACGATTTTATTTCAGTGTAAAGTTTCAGCAGCAGCAGGAGCAGCACATGGGAGCAGAACCCTCCAGAAGCCGTGTGGACAGGGCCTCTGTTGTGAAGAGCTGGGGATTCCATGGTTCAGGACAGCCCTTTACCTGTGGAGAAGTTCAGAAGGTCTTCCTGTCTGGCTCGGGGCATCTGCAGCAAGAGGCCACTGATACTGGGGAGAAGCCACACACGATCACCCAGCGCAGGGCAACTTTACAAAGCAGAAAAAGTCATGATACTTGGGGAGAATGCAAGAACGCCTTTGGTCCCACACATTCGTACGTTCAGGACCAGGGTGTCCACCTTGGAAGACAGTCCTTTGTGTGCAATAAATGTGGGAAAACATTCAGGTATAAATCTTTATTTGCCATACACCAGACGTTCCATACTGGAGAAAGAGGTTATAAGTTTAGCAAATACGGAAAATTCCTTAGGCGTTGGTCAGCCTGCAGTCAACATGAAAAGACTCATACTCTGTTCAAGCAGTACATGTGCAGCAAATGTGGGAAATCCTTAAGCCAGAAATCTGGCCTTATTCATCCCCAGAGATGGCACAATGGAGAAAAGAGTTATGTTTGCAGTGGATGTGCAAAATCTTTTATCCATAGATCAGTGTTGATTACACATAGGGTTCACCCTGGAAAAAGATTTTATAAGTGTCGTGGCTGCACAAAATCTTTTTCTACTATGTCTGCCCTTCGTTATCATCAGAGATCTCACACTAGGGAAAGACCTTATGAGTGCAGTGAATGTGGGAAATCTTTTACCACTGGTTCTTCCCTCCATTGTCACCAGAGAGTTCACACTGCAGAAAGGCCCTATGAGTGCAGTGAATGTGGCAAGTCCTTTGTCCGAAGAAATATCCTAAAAGTACACATAAAGATTCACTCAGGAGAAAGGCCTTACAAATGTAACGAATGTGGGAAATCTTTTAAGTGGAAGTCAACATTGATTAAACACCAGAGAATTCACACAGGAGAAAGGCCTTATGAGTGCAGTGAATGTGGGAAATCTTTTAGCACTAAGTCTGTCCTCCGTGATCACCAAAGAGTTCACACTGGAGAAAGGCCTTATGAGTGCAATGACTGTAAGAAATCTTTTACCACCAAATCAGCCCTCCATTATCACCAAAGAGTTCACACCGGAGAGCAGCCTTATGAGTGCAGTGAATGTGGCAAGTCCTTTGTCCAAAGAAGTAGCCTCAATATACACATAAAGGTTCACTCAGGTGAAAAGCCTTATAAGTGCAATGAATGTGGGAAATCTTTGAAGTGTAAGTCAACATTGATTAAACACCAGAGAATTCACACAGGAGAAAGGCCTTATGAGTGCAGTGAATGTGGAAAATCTTTTGCTACTAGTTCTGTCCTTCATTCTCACCAGAGAGTTCACACTGGAGAAAGGCCTTATGAATGCAGTGAATGTGGGAAATCTTTTACTGGTATTTCAGGACTCCACTATCACCAGAGAGTTCACACTGGAGAGAAACCTTATGAATGCAGTGAATGTGGCAAGTCCTTCGTCCAAAGAAGTAGCCTCAATGTACACAAAAAGGTCCACTCAGGTGAAAAGCCTTACAAGTGTAATGAATGTGGGAAATCATTGAAATGTAAGTCAACATTCGTTGAACACCAGAGAATTCACACAGGAGACCGGCCTCACGAGTGCCGTGATTGTGGGAAATCTTTTACGTCTAGATCTACCCTTCGTTCTCACCAGAGAGTTCACACTGGAGAACGGCCTTATGAATGCAGTGACTGTGGGAAGTCTTTTACCACTACTTCTCACCTTCGTTCTCACAAGAGAGTTCACAATAGTGAAAGGCCTTATGAATGCAGTGAATGTGGCAAGTCCTTTTGCCGAAGGAATAGTCTCAATGTACACGTCAAGATTCACTCAGGTGAAAGGCCTTACAAATGTAATGTATGTGGGAAATCTTTGAACTATAAGTCGACGTTCATTCAACATCAGAGAATTCACACAGGAGAAAAGCCTTACCTGTGCAGTGAATGTGGGAAGTCTTTTAGTTATAGCCGCGCCCTCCGGTATCATCGTCAAAGTCACCTTGCAGTAAGTCCTTATGATTGTAGTGATTGTGGGAAATCTTTTACTTGTAGTTCTTACCTCCGTGATCACCAGAGAGTTCACACTGGAGAAAGGCCTTATAAATGCAGTCACTGTGGGAAAACTTTCACTTCTCGTTCCCTCCTCCGTTCTCACCAGAGATTTCACACTGGAAAAAGGCCTTATGAATGCAGAGAATGTGGCAAGTCCTTCTTCCAAAGAGGTGCCCTGAATGTACACATCAAGGTTCACTCAGGTGAAAAGCCTTATAAGTGTAATGAATGTGGGAAATTGTTGAAGTACAAGTCAACATTTATAATACACCAGAGAATTCACACAGGAGAAAGGCCTTATGCTTGCAGTGAATGTGAGAAATCTTTTATCAGTTATGGTGCTCTTAGTTATCATCACAGAGTTCACGCTGGAGAAAGACATTAGGAGTACTGGGGATGTGGGAAATCTTTCAGCTATTTTTCCAGTCTCATTCAAGATGAGAAAGTACACAGTAAATAAAGTCTTTACGGTGGTAACATGAACTAAATGGTTCTGTTCACTGATGTTGATATGTTGACTCCCTGTCCTCTAATGCAATAGGAGTAGCAGGTGATGTCTTTGGGAGGTAATTGATATTGGAATGGATCATGTGTGTGAATTCCTAATGAATGGTTTTAATGTCTTAGTATTCCAAGACAGCTTGCTTCCCCTATCATGGGAGGACCCTTTGGGGAGCTCTATAAATCAGGAAGCTGGTCCTCACCAGACACAAAACCAGACCGTATGGGGAATGTTATGGGAAATATCCAGCCTCCAGAAGTGAGAAATTTCTGTTGCTCACAAGCCACCCAGTTTATCATATTTTCTGAGAGCAGCCTGAGCTAAGACCCACGTGAAGAATGTGGGTAATGTTTTGGGCAAAGATACCATTTCATAAAAAATCGAATTCACTGTGGAGCATGACCACATGAGTGAGGTGAAGGACACCCGTCATTCAGCCAGACATCTGTATTCATTCCACACTTCAGGGTTCACACTGCAGAAAGACTTTAAAATGGTGGAGAAGGTGATCCTTCCTTCCTTAGTGTATTATGCTGAGGAGAACCTTATGAGGCAGCCACCTTCCTGAATTGAGTTTTGTTCACCTGCATGCCCACAGTGGAGTGACTTCCCATAAGTTCCAGCTATTTGGGAAAGTTCAGAAATTGTATTGGGTGTTCTGATGTGTCTGAAGTGATTGCTGGAAGTCACTGTCAGATTCTGTGACAGAAATCATTTCACCTCTGCCACCTGGATGGTCCCAGTAATGAACATCTGTCACCACCCAGCTTAATGATGCTGACCACTTTGCTTTGTCATTTGCTGATGGAAGTTACGGGTACTGGGATCTCCTCATTGCCTTCTAAGTTAGTGCATGGATGTGACCCAATGTTGACCCTCCATACCTCTTGAGTCCTGGATGGTGTTTTGCAGAGAAAGACTAAATATTTTAGGGACGCTGTTAGTCTCCTGAGGATTGTGATAAATCTTTGCAGCTTCTAAGTCAGCAACACAGGAATTGGATGCTATGTGCTGCTCTGGTTTGTGCATTACTAAATGCCTTTTTTGTTTAATTACCATTAGTCTTAGGTGTTAAATTCACTCTAAGGGGTGGTGTGAAATTAGAATTGAGCTCTCCCAGACATAGGAGTGAACAGAGTTCTTTGCAACCCAAACTTACTGTGTCTCAGAGAGGATGATTGCAAATGAATAATAGGTTAGTTCTGCTCTCCAGCTTGGGCTTTAATTTCCTTTAAAACTCAAGACCTTTGTTATGGGCTGAATTCTGTACCTAACATTCATATGTTAAAGTTGTAACCCCCAGTCCCTCACAATGTGACTATAGTTAGACATAGCATCTTTAAAGAGACCATGAAGTTGAAATGGGTTATTGGGATGGACCCCTAGGCAGTATGACTGGCTTCATGATAAGAAGAGATGAGGGTACAGGCACACAGATGACCATGTGAAGACAGGGAATTCCCATATCTAAGCCAAGGACAGAGGCCTCAGAAGAAACTAACCCTGCTGACACCTTAGGTCTAACTTCTAGACTCCAGATTTGTGGGAAAATAAATTTCTCTCGTGTAATCACCCAGTGTGTGGTTCTGTGTAATATCAGTTCTGGCTAATACAGCCTCCCAGGATCCATATCTGGTTTTGTGGTCTGGATGCTAGCAAGTTTTGTGTGCTCAGAGGTCACCCTGAAGAGGGAGCAGTTGAGACCACTCCAGTGCTTGTGGAACAACAAGAATATTTTGCTTGTCCACAGCTGATAGCACAGGATGCCAGGTGCTGTTGAGTGGAATCTCTACCCCAGATCCTTCAAAGGAGCCTTGTGACCTCATGTACAGTATTCACTTGTAACACCACAGAGGCAGGGGAACTGTAATTGGTAATCTAGATGATTGGGCCATTAGGGAGTAGAGGAGACATCAGCCACCTAGGTGGTGTGTACCTCTGAAAAAAGTGTATCCACGATGTTGTAATGACTGGCTGGGCGGGATCAGAGTGCACAGAAATTCTCCACTTTCAGACACAGGTATCCTGTGTGACAGAGGTCTTTGTCATAAAATAATCCAAAAGTCTCTGAATTCTTCTATCCTCTGTGGTGCTAACATGTCATGGCCATTGTGAAAAGTGAAGGCAGGAAAAAGGTAAAGACAAGGGAAGAATTCATCCTCCAGGGATGTAGCTTTTGTGACCCTGCCCAGCCAGCATGCTTGTTGGCATTGTAAAGGACTATGGCGGACACCTGTTCTGAAACATTCTCCTCCCAGGGTGTCTCCCAGATACTCCCCAGCCTTAGGGCTAAAAAAAGCAGATCTTTCTGGAGGTGGTTGTGCAGAGTCCTACTCCCTGTCAAAGATCTGTTTCTGTCCCAAAGTCCTTGAATAAACATTTCTCCTCTAGGTGGACTTCTCAGGCTTTTTCTTTGGCCTGAAGGCTGGAGGTCGTTTTGCAAGTACATCCCTTTCAGTCTGAAAGAAAACAGTACTGTTTTCTTCTCTGGATGTGTACCGCTATTGATCTCTGCCTCTGGTTGGAGCATGTGGGTTATTTCCACTGTTTCCCTTTCACAAACAAATCCCTCTATATATTTTCATTATAATTCCTTACGCAGATAGAGGTTTCATTTCTCTTGTGTTAAAACTCAAAGCACAGGGCGCCTGGGTGGCTCAGTTGGTTAAGTGACTGCCTTCGGCTCAGGTCATGATCCTGGAGTCCCGGGATCGAGTCCCACATTGGGCTCCCTGCTCAGCAGGGAGTCTGCTTCTCCCTCTGACCTTCTTCCCTCTCGTGCTCTCTATCTCTCATTCTCTCTCTCTCAAATAAATAAATAAAATCTTTAAAAAAATAAAAATAAAAAAATAAAGAAAAATAAAACTCAAAGCACAATGGCTAAGTCACAGGTAGGTGAGTGTTAACATTTTCATGAAAGAGCCAAAATGGGATCTGAAGGGTTCACTATTGCATTCCCACCAGGCATGTATGAGAGCTCCAGTATATTCATTCCTGCCAGTACTTCATAGGGCGTCTAATGATAGTCCTTTTAGTACGTGTGTAGTGCTATGTGGTAATTGCATTTCCTAAGGATTTCTGACTTGCAGTTTTTTCTTGTGTTATTTAACATCTGTATGTCTTGTTTGGTACAATTTCTGTACCATTTGCCTGTTTTCTTTGATGAGATTATGGCTAGTTCCCTTTTCAATTACAAATTAGCCATGCACACAACAAAGGTAAATGTTAAAATTTCTCTCATTCTTACATGGTGTGACATTTTTCTTTATGTTGTCATGGTACTACTAAAAGGCTATTTCTTCATTAACTACTTCAGATTTTTGTGGCCGACTCATTGTCATGGACCAAAACACCTTAAGTGTTTAAGTCTAGGGTACATTCATTCCATTTTGTCATCATTTTCTAAGTCCAGGCCTTCAGAAGAACAAAAATCCATCCCTGCTCTGTAGTGTTTGCCAATTTCCAGAGAGTAAATTCTCCCATTGTGAGAGCGGGATATTCTCAGAGAAGTGCTGAATAACTATGTGGATGTTTGGTGGAAAACCACTCACTGGGGGGGCTGTGAGCTCCCTGGAGGTCTGCAGGAGCCTCTCAGGCAGGAGACGTTAATCCTGACAGGCCAGAGGGGAGGGACGTCCCTGAACACCCTGACTGGTGACTGAAAATCTGGCTGGTCTCACCTTAGTAGTGACATGGTTGTCGGGCATACCCACTCGGTTCAGATTCGCTTCTTCTGATCCCACCCAGTACACTGGAAGAAATTCTCACCATGGAACGCCAGCCTCCAAGTGATTTAATCTCTTATCTTTCTGTAATAGTTGACTATTGGTCCCCAAAGAGTCGACATTCATCCGTGCATCTCACCACCGCTCTGGGCTGTGTTCCCAGGCAGCTGTCTCAGGGGAAGTCTGCTGGGCCCAGGGAGGTGGTGGGTCACTGGGCCACTTCCGGCCTCCCCCTGGCCAGGAAGGGCTGGGAGCCAGGTGGGGCGGGGCCTCCCAGAAAAGACGGGGATTCCCTCCTGTTTGGGGCCTCACCCAGAAGATCAAGAGTCAGTCCAGGCCTCCCTCTCCACCCGAAGGAGGGTCCCTACCAGAGGGTCCCTGGGTCAGGTGTGTGGCAACCTGTGGAGGTCTTACTTCCCCCCCACACACACATGTGGGATCAGGGTCTCATCTCGGAGGACATACCAGGAAGGGGCCTGCAGGGGGGCCTGGTGCCAGGTGGTAGGGCAGGGCAGAGACAGAGGAGTCACCTGAAGTTGGAAGAACCCTCTGCGTTCCAAGTACCTGTACTTCACTGGAGACGAAGTTCCCACCATCAATCCTTAAGGCAGTGCCCTGCCCAGAGCTCTGGCCATTCTTGCCCCTCAAGGACACAGCACAGTCCACAGGTGAGTCCTCCATTCTTCCCACCAGCACCATCATTACGTCTCTGGCGCTGATGGATGTAGAAGTCTGGACTAAACTCAGCGGATTAGGTTGTCCACAGTTATCTTAAGGGGTAAAAAAAAACCCTCAGGTGCAGATTTTTCAACAAATTATGACTTTGGGGCGCCTGAATGGCTCAGTCAGTTAAGCCGTTAGGCTTGGGTCACAGTCTCGGTGTCCTGTGATTGAGCCCTGCTTTGGGCTCCCTGCTTAGTCGGGAGTTTGCTTCTCCCTCTCCCACTGGCCCTCCCCCCGCTTGTGTTCTCTCTCTCTCAAATAAAATATTTTTTTTTAAAAATCCCCAAAAACAAATT